AAGTGATTCTCCCAACTCAGCCTCCCGAGTAGCTGGGACTACAAGCACCCATCATCACGCCTGATAGAGATGGAGTTTTACCACATTGGCCAGGCTGGTCTCAAACTCCTGACCTCATGTGATCTGCCCGCCTCAGGCTCCCAAAGTGCTGGGATTACAGGCATGGGCCACCAGGCACAGCCTTTTTATAAAACTTTAAAAAAATATATTAAACTGTTCTACTAAGTTCAAATAAAAAAGCTGAGATTTGAAAATTAAGCAAAGATTAAGGTTTCCAAGTATAAAATTGTTTATTCAAAACTATTCATAAGGAAAACTAATTAAAAAAAAAAAAAAAAAAAAACTATTCATAAGACTTGGGCCGGAGCCTGGTGGAATGGCTCATGCCTGTAATCCCAGTGCTTTGGAAGACCCAGGTGGGCGGATCACCTGAGGTCAGGACCAGTCTGGCTAACGTGGTGAAACCCCGTCTCTACTGAAAATACAAACAAAATTAGCTGGGTGTGGTGGTGCACGCCTGTAATCCCAGCTACTTGGAAGGTGGAGGCAGGAGAATGGCTTGAACTTGGGAGGCGGAGGCTGCACTGAGCTGAGATCACGCCATTGCACTTCAGCCTGGGTGACAGAGCAAGGCTCTCTCAAAAAAAAAAAAAACAACAACAACAAAAACGCTGGCCACAGTGGCTCATGCCTGTAATCCCAGCACTTTGGGAGGCCAAGGTGGGCGGATCACCTGAGGTCGGGAGTTCCAGACCAGCCTGACCAACATGGAGAAACCCTGTCTCCACTAAAATACAAAATTAGTCAGGTGTGGTGGTGCACGCCTGTAATCCCAGCTACTAGGGAGGCTGAAGCAGGAGAATCACTTGAACTCAGGAGGTGGAGGTTGTGGTGAGCTGAGATCGCGCCAAAAAAAAAAAAAAAAAAAAAAAAAAAAAAAAAAAAAGAAGAAAGAAAGAAAGAAAAGGAAAGAAAAGAGAAGAGAAAAGAAAAAGAAAAAAAGACTCAGACCGGGCATGGTGGCTCACTCCTGTAATCCCAGCACTTTGGGAGGCCAAGGCAGGTGGATCACTTGAGCTCAGGAGTTCAAGATCAGCCTGAGCCACACACGGAAACCCCATCTTTATTAAAACAACAACAACAATAACAACAATTAATGAGACTCCTGACATCATAAGTGAATAACATATACCCAGATTACTGATAATCTTTCAAAAGCTCCCACACCCATTTCATTAGCTAGTGATTGCTGCACTCTCCCTACTATGTGCACAGTTTTGCAACATGAGCCCAGCCAGCATCTACCTTCCAAACACCAGTCTTGTATCAACCAGGAAGAGACAAATAAGGGAGCAAAGCTGGTTTCATTTTAAGGTATATTTTATCTATTAATTAATGTCTCATCAAAGGTAAATAGTAGGCCAGGATTCTCCTTCTAATCTTATTGATCAACGACTGGAAAACTAAATGCCCCAGTTAATCAAACTGCTTTATTAAATATAAAGACACTATCTACAATTTTAAGTAAAAATCACACAGTTCTTTAGGCATTCATATGTACAATTATTTAAGTGCTGCAGGTGTAGTTGGTCAGAAAACTGAACTAATTTTTCACTAGCCACAAATCTTAGAAATTGCTTGCAGAAAAAATTCTTGGTTAAGTTGTTTACTTGAACGGAACAGACAAATGAAAAAACGAAGTGAAACAATTTTAGCCATTTGAGCTTTCTGGTTGCCTGGACAATGAGGGAGAAAATGATTAAAAAACAGAATAGAAACATTTTTATTTTATCCTAAAAAGCAGTGGTTCTGAGAGTGCTGTTCTCTGGATCAGCAACATCGGCATCACCTGGGAACTTGTCAAAACTACAAATTGTGAGGTCCCACCTCAGACCTACCAAGTCAGACACCCTGGGGCTGGGACCCAGCAATCCGTTTCAACAAGCCTAACAGGTGATTTTGATGTGTACTTAAGTTTGAAAACCCCAGTTACAGAGTCAAGAAGATACCCAAATTTGTTCTGTGGAAATTGCCACCATCACCAAAAGGAATGAAATATGTTCTGTTTCCCCGCACATTTGAGTTCCTCCTGGCTTGGTCTTATGATGAAGGAATTTTCAAAGATTTATTTGACCTAGAAGTTTATTTCAGCCCCAAGTAAAATGGAACACAAAACATTTTGCCAGAGGGAAAAAAGAGCAAGGAAATTCCTCTTTGCTATTGGTTCACAGCCTGTTCCAAAAGTCAAGTGATAAACCTTGAGCAACAAATCAACAATTTAAGGCCAGGTGCAGTGACTCACTGCTGTAATCCCAGCACTTTGGGAAGCCAAGGCAGGCGGATCACCTGAGTCCAGGAGTTCGAGACCAGCCTGGCCAAAATGGCGAAACCCCGTCTCTACCAAAAATACAAAAATGAGTCAGGTGTAGTGGTGCATGCCCGCAATCCCAGCTACTCAGGACACTGAGACATAAGAATAGATTGAACACAGGAGGTGGGGGTTGCAGTGAGCCGAGATCATGCCACCGCACTCCTGCCTGGGCGACAGAGCAAGACTCTGTCTCAAAAAAAAAAAAAAAAAAGAAAAAGAATTAACAATTTAAGTTTAGAAAGAGCTATTTCACCATGTATTCTGCAGTTCACTTGAGAGAAGAGTATTCTGTCACAGAAAACAAGAACTCTGCCAACATCTACATTAACATCAACAAGTATTGGAACACAAGTTTTACCCACCTGAAGATGAGAGGTAACATAAAGCCCATCTAAAGTGGAAGACTGCACTTGGTCCCTAGCTTCCAAGATTCTTCATTGGCCCTTCCCTTTCTCCTATATGGAAGCTATCAGATATAATGCAAACATTACTTTTCAGTTAAGCTATTTGATAATGTAATGGCAATTCTTGTATTAACTAAACTGACTTAGCTACAATGTAACATGGTGACTATAGCATACACAGTATCCACAGATGCACCTGAGTGCACACACAACAGCCTGCAATGCTTGAGCCTTTAACACCAACTACCATTGGCCTACTTTGTGTTTTTAATGCCCTGCTTATGTACAAGGGTGTTGTTCTTGGAATTAAATCCTGAGATACAGTGATGTGGCTTATGTCAGTTACTTGCTTTCACTCATGATCCATCCTTCCCAAATATGGCAGCTGTGGCTCAGTGGAAAGAGCATCAGTCTGGGCATCAGAAGACCTGGGTCCTAGCCCCAGCTGTAAGACCTTGGACACGTCACTTAACTTCTTGGCCTCCACTGATTTAGCAGTAAAAATGAGACGCCACCTGATCCCCCAGGTTGTTGTAGGAAATGAAATAAATATTTAAAATGTGTTATACATCATAAAGCTGTATACATCCATTCACTCCACACACATTTATTGAGCAGCTATTATTTAGCAGGCAATCTTCTAGGCACTGAGGATAAAGGTGTAAACAAGAAAGCAAACTCCCTATCCCTAAGGAAGCTTCCATTCTAGTGGGAAGATTTATTAACACAAAGGACGGTTACTCTCATTCAAGTTTTTGTTTTTATTGTATTTTAAGGATTCAGATTCCCGACAGCCTTCTGTGATATGATGGAGACTTATGATTATAGGATAAAGGTAACTTTTGAACTCAAGAACAACATTGTTAGGCAAAGGTCAAGTAGATTTATCTGACTTGTTTAATAACTAAGGCTTCCTCAGTTGTAACCAGTTCCTCCTAATCATTATCTCTGGTGGTAGAAATTATGCTAACCTACAGAAGACAAAAAAATAAATGTATGTGATGAGAGCAAAGTATATCACACTGAATGCCATGTTCAATAATTAAGGGCAGGAGTAGACAATCCTTTTTCTGCATCTGTTACAGTCACTCCTGGAACTGAACTGGCCAAAATTGACATGATCATATTCCAGAATTTCTCACCCTTCCTGATAAAAAAAAAACAAACAAACTATGATTGCAGGAATGTCGAAAGAAGTCGTCTCCCAGTCTCCCAGTCTATCAAAGGAATGACTAGTATAGGGCCGATTTAGGGGTTCTGAAGGACAGAGGTCCAAGCAGCCTGCTCAAAAAAAAAAAAAAAAAAAAGAACTGCGTTGGAACCATACTGCAGTCTCCATTCAATGCAAAGAGCTTTCAAAGAGGCCTGTTCAAAACGTCACCAGGTTCTAGGAAAGGGGGGAAAAACAAACAAACACACCCCCACCCCCACCACACACACACACACCCCCCTAAACACACACACACACACACACCCCTAAAACCTCACTCAGAGCCAAATGTTAATCCTTCTGATCCCATTTAGGGTAAAAAGAGGGCAATCCATTTTTACAGTAGATATATCCATTTCTTTGTTTGAGTCCAGACACATTATGCGCAAATCTACAAGCAAGGCTGACGCTGCTGCGGCTCAGAGAGCTGATACGTACCGCCTCCCCAGGAGAAGACAGTAAGACCCTGCTAGGGGCTGCAAGTAGAGGGGGGTGTTTTATTTAAGGGGAATGGAAAAAGAGAGTGGTCAGGAGGAGACTAGAACAGTGGGGTCCCCTCGCCCTTCCCCCACAACCCCAACTGTCGAATATATTCTCTGCGGATACTGCATGCTTGGAAGGCCCTACGCAGGTCCGAGATGCTGCTATTCATCATTTCCCACGTCCTCTAATACCGCCACCAACTACAACGACCATCTCTCAATAATCCTCTTCTAGGCGCTGCTTCATCTCCATCCCTGGTCCTGGAGAGGCCGCTTCCGCGATCTCTGCGCCCTACTAGCTGTTATGTCATGCCCAGCCACCACAGTCGGCCACCCCACCCCCAGGGCAAGAGTGATCCCTCTAGTGCCCTCCAGCACCTCCAAATATCCAGCCTCCAAGCTATCCTACGCATCCCGCCCCCGTCCCTAACCCAACCACCATCATCGATCCCTCCCCACCGCAGTCCCTAACCCGATCCCCCATCACCCATCTCTCACCCCCGTCCCTAACCCGACACCCACACCTTACTCACCTGCAGCCCAGGAAGACGTGGTTGGTCCAGGCGGCGGAGAGGGCGAGGAGCTGGTCGAGGGCAGCCCCGGGATAGCTGTGCAGGTGCCGACAGATGAAGCTGCGCCGCAGAGCCCACTGCCAGTCACTTTCGTGGCTATAGCGCCACTGCTCCAGCACTGGCTCGGGCGGGGGCGGCGGGAGGGGCGGCAGCGGCGGCGGCGGGAGGGGGGGCAGCGGCGGCGGCGACAGGAAGTCGCCCCCCAACAGCAGACGTCCTCCAGCCATCTTCTCCGCCCCCAAGCAGGGACCCCAGGGACGAAGCCGACTACGGACCGCGAGCTAGGTAGCTAGCAAGCGGGCGGAAACGGGGGGCCTGTGGGAGGGGCCGGGTAAGGAGGGGCGCGCTGAGGGGCGAAGATCAACTCTCGGGGGGACTGGAGTGTGTGCGTGGGGGCCACCGTTAGGAGGAAAAGAGGAGCACGAGCTCGCGTCCCGACACCGGGGTGCACGTCCGCTGCACTCCTCCAACTCGTAGAGGAGCAGAAGGGCTTCCGCCGCACTCACGCGCGAGCCGGGGAGGCCGAGTGAGGCTCCGCACCTCCACGGATCCGCAGACCCACGCACTGCGCGGAGAGCGATAAAAGACCCCAGCACGCTCTGCTCCCCTCCTCTAGGTTCTAGCCTACCTACCCGCGTGCCGTCCGGGGTTGTGAGGCCAGTGCGCTTGCGCCGCGGCTGTTCCCTAACTTCCAAATCCCGTCGCAGAATCTCGCGCGACGTACTTTTTTCCCTCCAGTGACGACTACGGGCCTTTGACGCACTACGGTGACAAGCAGAGGGCGGGGACTCTAGAAAGGGAATTTAGGAAGGTTCTCTGAGGTTCGAGAATATGGTTGGAAGGTGCCCTCAGGTAGCTGTTGTTAGCCCACGGCTCGTCTGACGCTTTTCCCTGGATTTCTAAGCGGCGCGACAGTGAGACCATGTTCCTTGTAAGGGCTTTAGGTCTGCAATGGACTTTACATTAAAACAAAACAAAACAGGCAGCTCCCCGAGGTGCCTTTTCTTCAGAGTAGCTTGAAATGCTCTGTGCATCATGCATCATTAGCTCTGTGTAATAGCTTACTGCGAAAACGTACTAAAAATGAAACACTTGCAAAGAAAATCATCCACAGCGCCGCTTCTCAAGTTAGCCACTTTCAAGTCCCTACTGCATCCCAATTACGAACACAGACACTGTTTACACAGTTCTGATCACAACTGCAAATAAGTGTATTTCAAGTATCAACTTAAGTGCAACAGATTACAAGATACAAAAGGGGCCCAGAGAAGAGGGGCCCGCTCAATCACTGTAGCCAAATGTATCACTCCACCCGGAGTCAGCTTCACTCAGTAACTTCAGTCACTTCACGAAAGCAGTTAATGAGTGTTTGTCGGCGGGAATTTACACAGCACCTACTGTGTGCTCAATACAGCAAGAATACACAAAAGAAGGAAAGAAAGTGGGTTTTCTCTGTGGTCCTGGAATTGACTACAATCTTTGCGGGGAGAAATAGCCCTGCATAAAACTAAATGTTCCACCAGGAGCCGGAGCATTGGATGAGGTGGCTTTGACGCACTACCATCTTTAACTCTTTAAAGTGTTTCTAATTATATGACACTTTATGTGTAGGGGTGTATTAGACTGAGAGGAGGAGAAGATAACAGCACTTTACACACTTTCATAATGTATTTCCACGTCTTTCTCCATGGTGGGCATTCATGTTTATTGGGGTAACAATCAGACTGTTTTTAAAAAGTTCACAAGGTGATACATGCTGTGAAGAAAATAAAACAGGCTGGGTGCGGTGGCTCACGCCTGTAATCCCAGCACTTTGGGAGGCCGAGGCAGGAGGATTACTTGAGGTCAGGAGTTGGAGACCAGCCTGGCCAACATGGTGAAACCCCGTCTCCACTAAAAATACAAAAATTAGCTGGGCATGGTGGAAGGCGCCTGTAATCCCAGCTAGTCAGGCGGCTGAGTCAGGAGAATCGCTTGAACCTGGGAGGCAGAGGGTGCAGTGAGCCAATATTGCACCACTACACTCCAGCCTGGGCAATACAGTGAGACTCCGTTTCAAAGAAAAAAAAAAAGAGAAAGAAAAGAAAAGAAAAAAGAGGGCAGTGCAAAGGCAAATGACTGGGGGAACACTAGATGAGAGGAGTCAGGTGACCTAAATTCTCATCTCATCGTTGCCAACAACTATCTCTACAACCTTCGGCAAGTCATTTCACCTCTGTGGCCTTGTTTTTCTCACTCATACAATCATTACTTGAATTTATTATCTCTAACCTTCCTTCGTAGTACTATGTTCTTTGATTTGGTGGTTCAGAGACTAACATTACCTCAATAAACATGAATGCCCATCATAGAGAAAGACAGACATGGAAATAAAGAATTCTGAAACTGAAAAGTGCTGTTATCTTCTGCTCTTCTCAGTCCAATACACCCCTACGCATAAGGTGTCATATAGTTAGAAATATGTCATTAGAGAGTTAAAGAGGGCACTGAGTCAAAGCCACCTCATCCGGTGGTCCTACTGCTGGTGGCACATTTAGTTTTTTTTTTTTTTTTTTTTTTTTTTTTTTTTTTTTTTTTTTTTTTTTTTTTTTTTTTTTTTTTTTTTTTTTTTTTTTTTTTTTTTTTTTTTTTTTTTGAGACGGAGTCTCGCTGTGCTCCCAGGCTGGAGTGCAGTGGCGTGATCTCGGCTCACTGCAAGCTCCGCCTCCCGGGTTCACGCCATTCTCCCGCCTCAGTCTCCCAAGTAGCTGAGACTACAGGCGCCCGCCACCACGCCCGGCTAGTTTTTTGTATTTTTAGTAGAGACGGGGTTTCACCATGTTAGCCAGGATAGTCTCGATCTCCTGACCTCGTGATCCACCCGCCTCGGCCTCCCAAAGTGCTGGGATTACAGGCTTGAGCCACCGCGCCCGGCCTTAGTTTTATATAGGGCTATTTCTCCCCACCCAGCTTGTAATCAATTCCAGGACAACAGAGAAAAACCACTTTCTTTCCTTTTCGTATTCTTGCTGTATTCCACTGGAATGTCAGCTACATGAAAGCAGGGAACTCATCTGTCTTGCTCTTAGCACCTACACCTTGATCCTGTAGGTCCTCCAGATATATTTGTTGAATTAAATGCATAAATGAATGAAGCTCTTCCTTTTGTCCCAACCTAGTGAAAATCATTTCCTTGGAGCCTACATTTTAAGCTGATTTGTTATTTTATAATTAGATTAAATTCAGCCTGCTATGGTTTGAGTGTGTCCTCTTCAAAATTCAATTGTTGAAACTTAATGGCTAATGTGATGGTATTAAAAGGTGGGGCCTTTGAGAGGTCATTAAGCCATGAGAGCTCCTCCCTCAGGAATGGGATTAAGGCCCTGATGAAAGAGGCTTTACACAGTGTTTGGTCACTCGCCCTTTGCCTTCTGCCATGTGAGGATATAACACTCTTCTCCCCTTGTTGCTGGAAGATGCAGCAACAAGGCACCATCCTGGAAGCAGAGAGCAGAGAGCTGCCCCCACCAGACAACTGAACCTTCTGGTGCCTTAATCTTGGATTTCCCAGGTTCTGGAACTCTGAGAAATAAATGTATATTCTTTATAAGTCTCAAGTCTCAGTATCTTGTTATAGCAGTATAAACGGACTAAGACACAGCCTAAGTTGCCAACTTTCACCAAAATCAGCACTGTAATAAATATACATCTTTCCTAGAAAACAATCTGTGAAAAGATAAATTACTTCCTCTCAGCCTGAATTAAAACGTTTCCATTATATAGAAACAAATGATTGTAATCTGACTTCTGAACTTGGATTACAAAATAAAAGGTGTTGGAACTGATGTAAGAGGCCATCTGCTCTGGAACAACCATAATAGGATTCCATTTGTAAATCCCACTAAGGAATAAGCAGTTTCATCCATGGAACACAAATTTCCAGGATTCTCCATGTCCTTCTCTCCCTGGTATCCTTCTGATTACAAAAAATCCATCAGCCAATCTATTTTAGCCCATTCCTTTCTCACAGCTACAGTTGGTTTCTCAGTAAGCAGGAGTTGAAACCCCTGAGCAGAAATACATTAGTTGAAGAGACGTGTAGGTGTAGATAATAAAGGTCGCCATTACAATCCTAAACAAGCCAGAAGGCCGGGCATGGTGGCTCACGCCTGTAATCCCGGCACTTTGGGAGGCCAAGGCGGGCAGGTCACTTGAGGTCAAGAGTTTGAGACCAACCTGGCCAACATGGTGAAACCCCATCTCTACTAAAAATACAAAAATTATCCGGGCATGGTGGCATATGCCTGTAGTCCCAGCTACTCAGGAGGCTGAGGCAGGAGAATTGCTTGAACCTGGGAGGTGGAGGTTGCAGTGAGCTGAATGATCATGCCACTGCATTCCAGCCTGGGCGATGGAGTGAGACAGTGTTAAAAAAAAAAAAAAAAAAGGTTCAACTAGGAAGTTTGAAAATGGAGAAGAGATCAGGAATCAGGATAGGTGGATGAGATCAAGAAAGTCTTCAAAGTAGGACCTGAGCCTTGAAGGTAGGATTTAAATCAGTAGAGGATATTTCAGACAGAGTCAATGAACAGTTTGTGTAACTCAGGGAGAGGTTTGTGCAGAGATGGAATAGACTGGACAGAGAACGAATATTGGGAAGTGTTGGCAAACATGGTTGAGTAGATACAAGGGGCCAGTCTGCAAGTTCCCCAAGGGCAGCATCTAACTAGATCTCATGAAAAAGATTTAATTAAGCCCAGGCGCAGTGGCTCACCCCTGTAATCCCAGCACTTTGGGAGGCCGAGGCGGGAGGATCATTTGAGGTCAGGGGTTAGAGACTAGCCTGGCCAACATGGCAAAATCCGTCTCTACTAATAATACAAAAATTAGCCGGGTGTGGTGGTGGGCCAGAGACTACAGGCCCGCGACACCAGGCTAGTTTTGGTTACGTTTCTTAATGGCTGGGAAAAAATTGCCGGGTGCAGTGGCTCACGACTATAATCCCAGCAGCTTGGGAGGCCGAGGTGGGTGAATCGCTTGAGCTCAAAAGTTCGAGACCAGCCTGGGCAACATGAGGAAACCTGTCTACAAAAGATACAAGAATTAGCGGGGCGTTGGGGCGCGCTCCTGTAGTCCCAGCTACTTGGGAGGCTGAGGCAAGAGGATTGCTTGGGCCCAGGAGCTCG